CATGGTCAATAAAACAATATCATAAAGTTTTCTCAAAATAGCTCATTTTGTGAGAAAATCCAATATTGTGTGTGTGTATGATATTGAGCTTAGAGTATTAAACACACATAATATAAACCTATACTAAATATACCCAAGCTTGATGAATGTCTTAAATGAGCATGACTTGGTAAACTTTGGGGAAGAAGCTTGTAATTGGATCTTTAACTTGAATTGACGTTGCTTCACTCCACAATTCCGCCAACCTCCATTTGATATGATCGTTAAAGCTCGATTCCATCCATCCTCCAACTCGTTGTTTGTCTATAATAAATAGAAATATACCAACACTAGACAAACAACATTAGTGGTAAATTATTTGTTAAACATCATCAAAACAAAGAGGCTAATAGTGTGATTAGGTCTTGTTTGACTCAAGATCTAAAATATGATGTGATGAATGAGACTTCTGCAAAGAAGATTTGGAAGATTTTTGAAAGCAAGTATCTGACAAAGAGTATTGAGAACCGCTTGCATTTGAAGAGGAGACTTTATCGTTTCCAGTTGAAGAAGAGAACCTCAATTAGAGATCACATGAACACCTACACAAAGCTTCTTGCGGATTTGGCGAATGTGGATGTCATCCTTAGCCGACGAGGAATATGAGACCTTCGTTCTTACTCTGATTAATGGGAAGGCATCACTTTCGTATAGTGAGGTCACCGCTGCACTTGTGAATTATCAGCTTCGAAAGAAGGATAAGGAGGCTTCAGTTGAGCCGGTAGCGGAGACATTGATCGCAAGAGGGAAGGGTCCAAACTGAAAGAATTAGAAGTCACAGTCTAGAGTAGGACATCCTACAATTGGAAAAGATCAGTGTGCTTGGTGCAAGGAGACTGGTCATTAGAAGAAAGACTGCCCAAAGCTCGACGAATGGATGAAGAATAAGCAGAAGGGAAAAGGGAAGCAACCATCATCAGAAGCAAACATCGTATCGGATGGTAATAATTCTGACTCTTCTATTTATTCGCTTTCTATCAGTCCTACAGATAGCTATTCGAAAGAATCTGAATGGATGTTGGATAGTGGTACCACCTATCATGTGTGCCCTAGAAGGGAATGGTTCTCCAGTTTTGAGAAGCTGGATAGTGGTGTGGTGTACATGGCTGATAACCGTGCATGCTAGATCCTTGGGATAGGAAGAATTCATATTAAAATATTTGACGGGACTGTTAGAGAGTTAAATGATGTGAGATATGTTCCTTCTTTAAGGAAGAACTTGATCTCAATTGGAGCTTTGGTTGGAGAGGGTCTGAATGTTCGAATTGAGGACATGGTTCTCAAGATTGTGGAGACTCTCAGATTGTGATGAAGGGCGTCAAGAGGAATAATCTGTATTACTTGACTGGAGGTATAGTGGCAGGTGGAGAACTGGCGACTTCTGTTGATTCGACTAGACTGCGGTATTTGGGGCTTGGCCATTCCAGTATTGATTCCTCGCATAGATTGAAAGAGAGTATAAAGACCTGCAATTTAAAGTCCAGTGAACATGTTGATGTGAGCAAGAAGACCGAGGTGAAGTGTGGCACCTCTATTTACCGTGCTAATGGTCGTTCTAAAGGAGATCACGTGGATGTTTGGGGGCCTTCCAAGGGGGCATCATTGGGAGGTAATAGACGTTTGGTTTCCTTTGTTGGTGACTGTTCTAGGCGTGTTTGGGTTGCAACCAAATCCCCTTTGGATAAAGTCCTAGTGTATCTAACAGATTGAAGAAGTGTGTGATAGACAGAAAGGTGAAGGTACTCCATTCTGATTTTGATGAGAGGTACAAGATGGACCTGTTTCTGCATTGGAGCAGAGCTCACGACATTTCGAGATACTTCGTTGGAAAGGAAATCTGCTAGATAGGGTGACAAATTTGGAGAACCGTGCCTTGCTGGAGGAGGATCGGTGTTTGTTGTCAAGCAATGGTTTGTAGAAGAGTTTCTGGACCGAGGCTTCAACATATTTGGGTCATCCTATTAAAGAGTTGTCAACTACTGTGATTGGAGGTAAAACTCCATTGGAAGATAGGTCTGGTAGTGTCACTTCGGTTGAGGCTTCGATGAGGGAGCTATTTGACTCTCAGCAGGTGAAGAGTTTTAGACAGACCTTAGATGTATCGCAGCGGGTGGAGTTTGATGCTACTCCACATTGGGTGAAGATTACTCCAGATCATACTGCATTATTTGGGATTTCAGCTGAGGTGACACAGCTTAGGGATCATTTGGATTTAGGTGCAGATGATGAGTTGGGTTCTGATTCGAATGTAGCTGATAGATACAGTTTGGATATGGCCATTGGTTCACCTCAGGTGGAGGTGTTTGAGGCCATTAGAGGTGCTATCAGCCGCAGAGTTAATGATATTGGAGAAGGGTTGCTAACTCTTTTATTGGTTTGAGGTCGTTCGCGGCCATTTGGATGAACTACGTGCAGCTTGATCCCTTGGGAGAGGGGGTACGTAGGCAACCATATTGGTGCAGCCGAGTTTGGAGAGACGACACATTGGTGCTCATGTTTGTGTCGGCTTAGTGTTGGGAACACTTCGCCGAGGTGGAGAATTGTGAAAACGGCGAAGAAATTATGAAAAACGTGAAGAAAAACCCAAAACAGACTCCACCACACCCTGGTATGGTGTCTGCCATGGGTGTGACAGAATCTGCCCTGTCTTCCATGAGTGTGGTCTGCGCCACACCCTGGTGTGGCAGAATCTGCCATGTCTGCCATGGGTGTGGTTTGCGCCACACCCTGATGTGACAGACTCGTTTTTAGAATCCACCTTTGTTTGGGAATCCTTCTTTGTTTGAGATTGTGTTTTATTATAAATAGGACCATGTTTTTTAGGGTTTCTCAAGGAGAGAAAATGAGAGAATTAGCATTGTTTTGAGCACTTTGCGAGGGAGATATTGTGAGGGAGTTGAGAGCTTTGGTTAGAGTTATACTTGAGTGATTTTGTGAGTTGTAACCCGTTGTATTTCTCCTCCATATAGTGAAATCTCCCCATCCTCTCCCCGTGGACGTAGGCAATTGCCGAACCACGTAAATCCTTGTGTCTCCCCGTGGACGTAGGCAATTGCCGAACCACGTAAATCCTTGTGTTTGGTTTGATTTGTGTCGTATTTGGTGAATTGCATTCTTGATTTGGTTTGGTTTTCTTCTCTCATCACTCACCGACTCGTTTGGTTCTCGAGCACGCTTCCGCCCGGCGCGCAACATATCAGGCCATGTCGGAGATATTTAAAACAATGGTACATACACAATCGACCTTTTGGTGCAGTTTATGCCACTAAGGATTGCCGACATTCTAAACAATGCGACCATGTCTGAACTGGGAAATGTCAATGCCTCACTTTTGTAAGGATATCAGAGAAGGATTTCCCTTAGCCTATTTGTATTCAAGAAAAATTTATTATCAACTTGTGGTATTTATACTGCACAAGAAAAAACATGCTGTTAAGACTTGTACTTGGGTTGCAAACAAGGTCAGTACATAAGTAGGATATCAAGTAGGGAAGTATCACAGGGTGAGGTTACAAGGTGCACCTTGGAGAAAATTGTTTCATGATTGGTTACTGCAGCTTTGTGATTATCTGAGTTTTGGACCAGGGAGTAGATATCTCGAAAACTTTGACTTTAAAATAATTTCAACTGTCGAGTTAATAGCTGAGAATGAAAGAAGTTTGAGGGATCATACATTTTACCGCCTATTTTTTTGGGTTTTTTCAACATATACCCTTAAATCATGCTTATTTGTGAAAATTTCCCTCAATTCTTAGTATTTTGATAACTACCAAATCAACAAATCATTTACATTGAAAAGTTAATTTGTAGATGCTATGTAAAATTAGCAACATATAGTCAAATATTTACTCACCCTATCTAATAAAGTTGTTGAGAATGCACTGTAGATGCTTGGTTGAGGTTAATTCTCTAGATCAAAATTTTCTTTGTTTCTTCAACCAATGTTGTAATAAAGATCCTGTTATAATTTAGTCATATGATTCCGTGCAATTTCTTCGCTATCTTTTCCCGCACTTTTTTTTTTAATTTTCTCTCTCTCTCTTTTGTCTTGTGAGGTGGAGGAGCTAAAGTTCTGATTTTATTACTAGTATTTTCATTTATATAAAATGTATTTTGTAAGCTCTTATGGTTTTCAATTTCAAAACGAGTTCCCATGTAACCCTTGTTTAAGATGCAAGCATTATCCGTTTTCTAGGTTGTACTGATATTCTTCATTTCTTTGCAAAATTCATAGGTGCGCGCTTTTTCTAGGCTTATGCAAGATGAAGTTCCGCAAATAAAGTTGTTTGTAGATAATATTAATTTGAGAAATTAATTTTGACCCAAAATCATGAGACCAATTATGAAACAGATGATGTGTCCTGTTATAATACCTTATTGATCTTAGTTGTAACATCAAGAAAAAAAAAATATTGCGTTTACCTTGCTTCGTGGTTAGTCTCGTTAATTATGGGTCAAAAAAAAAAATACTCTTCTACTAAATTGCTATTGTAATATTCATATAGTTTTAATTCTAAATGGTGAATCCAAAGATTAAATTTAACAATCATTCTTCTTATAATTTGGCTAAAATTATATTTCATATACTTTGTTTTTATTCTAGTAATTGTAAGTTAAGTCCAACGCTGAAAGTTATCTTTTAATTATTTGTAATTTTTTTTATTGTTTCCTTAGTTGTAAATTTACAGAGTACTTTTTTTTTCTTTTTGGACCCAAGATTCACGAGACGAAAACTATCCAAATACTACAACGGTAATTTAGTAGAATCTTTATTTCTCTTCAAGATTGGGATTATGCAAAGTAAGTAGCAGTTATACAACGCCCTAATGAAGGAGCTACCAAATATGCATTATGCAATAAAACAAATCTACAAGTACCATGCAAATAATGTTACTCTAAGGGCTATAATGCAAAAATTGTTTTATTATTGAGAAGAAAAAGAGCAGGGGTTTACGAGCAGAGATAAATCTTAGAAGTGGGGGAGAGAGGGGGAGGGTTTCGTTAGTAATTGTGAAATCCAGCAGTGAAGAGGTAAGGATTCAAAGACTTCTCTTTGGAGCTTGAAAATCTCTTGCATTCATATTTATAGATATCTTCAATTTACTTTGATGCTTTAAAAATATGATTTTGTTTCTTAAGAAGAGCCTCTCTCTTGCTCCTTCATCCTGTTCAGTTCCCAAAAATTCCACCTTTTACCTTCAATTCTTTTCCGGACAAATTTTCAAAACCAACCTATTTGGACTTTTATTCCCAAAAAAAGACCCGTTTCACATTTATTTAGAGAAACCGACCTGGATTCAGCCTCAGCGCTGAAACCAGGTCGGCTTTTGAAAAAAACTCTCCGAAACTTCACGGGAGTTGAACTCCCGTGAAGTTTTTTGAACTACGAAACTTCACGGGAGTTCAACTCCCGTGAAGTTTCGGAGAGTTTTTTTCAAAAGCCGACCTGGTTTCAGCGCTGAGGCTGAATCCAGGTCGGTTTCTCTAAATAAATGTGAAACGGGTCTTTTTTTGGGAATAAAAGTCCAAATAGGTTGGTTTTGAAAATTTGTCCTTGGACTTTTATTCCCAAAAAAAGACCCGTTTCACATTTATTTAGAGAAACCGACCTGGATTCAGCCTCAGCGCTGAAACCAGGTCGGCTTTTGAAAAAAACTCTCCGAAACTTCACGGGAGTTGAACTCCCGTGAAGTTTCGTAGTTCAAAAAACTTCACGGGAGTTCAACTCCCGTGAAGTTTCGGAGAGTTTTTTTCAAAAACCGACCTGGTTTCAGCGCTGAGGCTGAAACCAGGTCGGTTTCTCTAAATAAATGTGAAACGGGTCTTTTTTTGGGAATAAAAGTCCAAATAGGTTGGTTTTGAAAATTTGTCCGGAAAAGAATTGAAGGTAAAAGGTGGAATTTTTGGGAACTGAACAGGATGAAGGAGCAAGAGAGAGGCTCTTCTTAAGAAACAAAATCATATTTTTAAAGCATCAAAGTAAATTGAAGATATCTATAAATATGAATGCAAGAGATTTTCAAGCTCCAAAGAGAAGTCTTTGAATCCTTACCTCTTCACTGCTGGATTTCACAATTACTAACGAAACCCTCCCCCTCTCTCCCCCACTTCTAAGATTTATCTCTGCTCGTAAACCCCTGCTCTTTTTCTTCTCAATAATAAAACAATTTTTGCATTATAGCCCTTAGAGTAACATTATTTGCATGGTACTTGTAGATTTGTTTTATTGCATAATGCATATTTGGTAGCTCCTTCATTAGGGCGTTGTATAACTGCTACTTACTTTGCATAATCCCAATCTTGAAGAGAAATAAAGATTCTACTAAATTACCGTTGTAGTATTTGGATAGTTTTCGTCTCGTGAATCTTGGGTCCAAAAAGAAAAAAAAAGTACTCTGTAAATTTACAACTAAGGAAACAATAAAAAAAATTACAAATAATTAAAAGATAACTTTCAGCGTTGGACTTAACTTACAATTACTAGAATAAAAACAAAGTATATGAAATATAATTTTAGCCAAATTATAAGAAGAATGATTGTTAAATTTAATCTTTGGATTCACCATTTAGAATTAAAACTATATGAATATTACAATAGCAATTTAGTAGAAGAGTATTTTTTTTTTTGACCCATAATTAACGAGACTAACCACGAAGCAAGGTAAACGCAATATTTTTTTTTTCTTGATGTTACAACTAAGATCAATAAGGTATTATAACAGGACACATCATCTGTTTCATAATTGGTCTCATGATTTTGGGTCAAAATTAATTTCTCAAATTAATATTATCTACAAACAACTTTATTTGCGGAACTTCATCTTGCATAAGCCTAGAAAAAGCGCGCACCTATGAATTTTGCAAAGAAATGAAGAATATCAGTACAACCTAGAAAACGGATAATGCTTGCATCTTAAACAAGGGTTACATGGGAACTCGTTTTGAAATTGAAAACCATAAGAGCTTACAAAATACATTTTATATAAATGAAAATACTAGTAATAAAATCAGAACTTTAGCTCCTCCACCTCACAAGACAAAAGAGAGAGAGAGAAAATTAAAAAAAAAAGTGCGGGAAAAGATAGCGAAGAAATTGCACGGAATCATATGACTAAATTATAACAGGATCTTTATTACAACATTGGTTGAAGAAACAAAGAAAATTTTGATCTAGAGAATTAACCTCAACCAAGCATCTACAGTGCATTCTCAACAACTTTATTAGATAGGGTGAGTAAATATTTGACTATATGTTGCTAATTTTACATAGCATCTACAAATTAACTTTTCAATGTAAATGATTTGTTGATTTGGTAGTTATCAAAATACTAAGAATTGAGGGAAATTTTCACAAATAAGCATGATTTAAGGGTATATGTTGAAAAAACCCAAAAAAATAGGCGGTAAAATGTATGATCCCTCAAACTTCTTTCATTCTCAGCTATTAACTCGACAGTTGAAATTATTTTAAAGTCAAAGTTTTCGAGATATCTACTCCCTGGTCCAAAACTCAGATAATCACAAAGCTGCAGTAACCAATCATGAAACAATTTTCTCCAAGGTGCACCTTGTAACCTCACCCTGTGATACTTCCCTACTTGATATCCTACTTATGTACTGACCTTGTTTGCAACCCAAGTACAAGTCTTAACAGCATGTTTTTTCTTGTGCAGTATAAATACCACAAGTTGATAATAAATTTTTCTTGAATACAAATAGGCTAAGGGAAATCCTTCTCTGATATCCTTACAAAAGTGAGGCATTGACATTTCCCAGTTCAGACATGGTCGCATTGTTTAGAATGTCGGCAATCCTTAGTGGCATAAACTGCACCAAAAGGTCGATTGTGTATGTACCATTGTTTTAAATATCTCCGACATGGCCTGATATGTTGCGCGCCGGGCGGAAGCGTGCTCGAGAACCAAACGAGTCGGTGAGTGATGAGAGAAGAAAACCAAACCAAATCAAGAATGCAATTCACCAAATACGACACAAATCAAACCAAACACAAGGATTTACGTGGTTCGGCAATTGCCTACGTCCACGGGGAGAGGATGGGGAGATTTCACTATATGGAGGAGAAATACAACGGGTTACAACTCACAAAATCACTCAAGTATAACTCTAACCAAAGCTCTCAACTCCCTCACAATATCTCCCTCTCAAAGTGCTCAAAACAATGCTAAATCTCTTCTTTTCTCTCCTTAATTTCACTATATGGAGGAGAAATACAACGGGTTACAACTCACAAAATCACTCAAGTATAACTCTAACCAAAGCTCTCAACTCCCTCACAATATCTCCCTCGCAAAGTGCTCAAAACAATGCTAATTCTCTCATTTTCTCTCCTTGAGAAACCCTAAAAAACATGGTCCTATTTATAATAAAACACAATCTCAAACAAAGAAGGATTCCCAAACAAAGGTGGATTCTAAAAACGAGTCTGTCACATCAGGGTGTGGCGCAAACCACACCCATGGCAGACATGGCAGATTCTGCCACACCAGGGTGTGGCGCAGACCACACTCATGGAAGACAGGGCAGATTCTGTCACACCCATGGCAGACACCATACCAGGGTGTGGTGGAGTCTGTTTTGGGTTTTTCTTCACGTTTTTCATAATTTCTTCGCCGTTTTCACAATTCTCCACCTCGGCGAAGTGTTCCCAACACTAAGCCGACACAAACATGAGCACCAATGTGTCGTCTCTCCAAACTCGGCTGCACCAATATGGTTGCCTACGTACCCCCTCTCCCAAGGGATCAAGCTGCACGTAGTTCATCCAAATGGCCGCGAACGACCTCAAACCAATAAAAGAGTTAGCAACCCTTCTCCAATATCATTAACTCTGCGGCTGATAGCACCTCTAATGGCCTCAAACACCTCCACCTGAGGTGAACCAATGGCCATATCCAAACTGTATCTATCAGCTACATTCGAATCAGAACCCAACTCATCATCTGCACCTAAATCCAAATGATCCCTAAGCTGTGTCACCTCAGCTGAAATCCCAAATAATGCAGTATGATCTGGAGTAATCTTCACCCAATGTGGAGTAGCATCAAACTCCACCCGCTGCGATACATCTAAGGTCTGTCTAAAACTCTTCACCTGCTGAGAGTCAAATAGCTCCCTCATCGAAGCCTCAACCGAAGTGACACTACCAGACCTATCTTCCAATGGAGTTTTACCTCCAATCACAGTAGTTGACAACTCTTTAATAGGATAACCCAAATATGTCGAAGCCTC